AAATTTACTGATACAAGAACAAAGAGACCAAGGTCATTGATGAATTATCTTCATGACCTTTTGTAATTGAAGTCACTGTTTCTCTCACTTCTCTTCATATATGTTTTAATAAAAAAACTCCCTTTTTGCAAATTCATACAATGCAATGTAGCTATGAATATCATTAAGCAATCATAGCCATGTCCTAACGTTACATTTATGTGTAAATCTAAATTTTTGTTCAGGTCCATTTCACGATTTGCTAACATTCCAGTCTGTCCCTTGTTTTAGTACGCCTTTCCATATTACCCGAACCTCGTCGAAGGCAAATACTTGCGAGCGATTTTGTTTGGTACATTGTGAAATCGGTGTAGGCCTGTACTTATATATTGAAGAAAACATACATTCATTAAGCCTACCAACAAGTAACTTAAACCCCATTTTATATCACATTGTATGCATGTACGTATCACCAACGCAGTTGTAGAATGCTCCGGTAGCGACAAAACCATAACGCACATAGCAGCTGTATAATTGGGGGAAGTGACTGGTTCCTGCTGGTAGGGCGCTCTAAACTATCCCAATTATATTTGATATAAAAGAGATAGTTTCTGGTATAAATCTGAACTTGTCAAAGATGTCCCCGAATGGAAAAAAATCCAGAGGTCTTACCCGAGGAAGGAAAATTCTTTCCTTCGCCGCCTCCTACGCAGATGTGCAAATTAGCCATCTTTGAGAATGTTCTTAAAAAGTTGAGCATGCTCATGACCACTCTCAAATTTTGGGTCAATTCTCAACTTAAAATTAAGAATGGGGCAGTTGAGAATCTTTGAGACACAATTTGAGAATATACTTAAAGTAATGCACATTCTCAAAGTTAAGAATAGTAACATAATAATGTTGTCTCAAGATTGAATCTGTTTATGACCAGTTCTGATAATGGTACTGTTTTAGTAATTCCATTCATCATGACAAAGTCCTAAGTACTGAAAATAAAGTGATTACATTTATGGTAATATCCAAAGACAGGAAAAAATTGGATGAATTATATTTGGTCTAACATCGCATCCAAAGATAAAGATTGTACAAACGGGACGCGCAATTACATAGCACCAAATTTAGAGTTAGATACAGTAGAGCCAAACAATGAATTAAACTGCATCATACAGATGTTACGTCCCTCTAGGACTCATCAGTGATGCTAAGGGTCTAAAGTTGGAGGAAAATTCGAAGTGATTGAAAAAAGTCAAAATCTACAGGGGGAGCTGAAACAGCCCTATGATTAAATAATTTTCTAAGTTTCATATAATTTCAGACAATTTTAAAACAGCGTCAAGTATATGTGTATATTCTGAATAAGGTCTATGTGAATCAGCTCCATCAAGTAAAGAATCACATCAGTGTTCGAAACAATTTTATGGTCATATCTCTCAGACGGGTAGCTTCTTCATCAAAATTACGATGACGTCACGCTGACTCTTCAATGATATGTCACTTCAGCAATGTCATTCAAATTGGAGCCAACAGGTAAAGAAAATAAATTCAATTTCCTCCATTGGCGCCAGACTAAGATTTCGGCTCTCGGAGGTATATTCGGACAACACTAGTAGAAGTTACACTGTATACTTTTCAAGGCCTTCGAGCTATTCTAAAGTTCATCACATCCTGTGTTTATTCCACTTTCTCCTGTCATCCGGGTCCTTCTTGTAATTCTCGCCACTAGTATTTTATTTTAGGGAGAGAGTAATCAATATCTGAATTAAAATTTGGTGGATAGCTAATTATTTTCTTACTAACTAGGAACAGTTAAATAAACAAAAAAACAAAAAACAAAACAAAAAAAAAACGTTGCACTATTAGAAAATCGTGCAACTCATTTACTGTGTTTTACTATCATTGCTCTATTATCATTTTTGACTTTTTTTTTTCTTTTTTTGTTAATTTTCTGGCTTTCATTTTGATTCCAAAGTGACACGAATTCATCATTCAACAATTATGATGTTATAATTGTAATATACAGTTGTGGGATCGCACAACGTTACATGATATGTACGCACGGTGTATGAACGACAGGGAAACTAGACGAAATAAACTATCGCATATTTGTGCGCGCGTTGTGTAGTTCTATCATTTTGGTCATAACTAGTTTTTCGTTCAATTTTCAATTTGTAATATTATCCAACTATTTTTACCAAACAGGACAAAATGTGCGCATGGTACTGTATAGTGCGTGTGTGCGCACGATGTATGCTCGATGTGCGCGTCATGTTTTTGGTGCGTTGTGTGTTACCACAGCTTCACGTCACATAAAAACAGAGTTTGTGTTATGTCTTAAGTAGACATTGGGCGGTTATGTCCCTTTGGGGTAGACATTTGGTGTTTTTGTCACCTTGGGGTAGACATTGGGCGGTTTGGCCCTGTGGGGTAGACATTGGGCGGTTTTGTACCTGTGGAGTAGACATTGGGCGGTTTTGTTCCTGTGGAGTAGACATTGGGTGGTTTTGTTCCTGTGGGGTAGACATTGGGCGGTTTTGTACCTGTGGGGTAGACATTGGGCGGTTTTGTACCTGTGAGGTAGACATTCGGTGTTTTTTGTACCTGTGGAGTAGACATGTGGGCGGTTTTGTACCTGTGCAGTAGACATTGGGCAGTTTTGTACCTGTGGAGTAGACATTTGGCGGTTTTGTACCTGTGGAGTAGACATTGGGCGGTCTTGTACATGTGGAGTAGACATTGGGCGGTTTTGTACCTGTGGAGTAGACATTGGGCAGTTTTGTACCTGTGGAGTAGACATTTGGCGGTTTTGTACCTGTGGAGTAGACATTGGGCGGTCTTGTACATGTGGAGTAGACATTGGGCGGTTTTGTACCTGTGGAGTAGACATTGGGCAGTTTTGTACCTGTGGAGTAGACATTTGGCGGTTTTGTACCTGTGGAGTAGACATTGGGCGGTCTTGTACATGTGGAGTAGACATTGGGCGGTTTTGTACCTGTGGGGTAGACATTGGGCGGTCTTGTACCTGTGGGGTAGACATTGGGCGGTCTTGTGCCTGTGGAGTAGACATTGGGCGGTTTTATACCTGTGGGGTAGACATTAGGTGTTTTTTTAAACTGTGGGGTAGACATTGGGCGGTCTTGTACCTGTGGAGTAGACATTGGGCGGTTTTGTATCTGTGGGGTAGACATTTGGTGTTTTTGTACCTGTAGAGTAGACATTGGGCGGTTTTGTACCTGTGGGGTAGACATTAGGTGTTTTTTGTACCTGTGGGGTAGACATTGGGTGGTCTTGTACCTGTGGGGTAGACATTGGGTTTTTTGTACCTGTGTAGTATACATTGGGTGATTTTGTACCTGTTTGGGAAGATATTGGGCGGTTATGTTCCTTTGGGATAGACATTGGGTGTTTTTGTCCGTTTGGGATAGACATTAGGTGGTTTTGTTCCACGACCAAGATACACCAGAGTCTTAAAAAATCAATTACTACTCCTTGTTTAATATTCAGCATTGTAGTAGTGCATATATAGGGAGACTGTTATTTGTTACCAGAACCAAACCGTACTGACCTAAAATCTTTTAATGCATTTAAAAAAATATATGTTGTAAATGTAGATATGCCCCCCTCCCCCCCTCCCCCCTCTCGTCAGTTATATGCCGATACACGGTGTAATAACATGAAATTAATGAAACTGTGGTCAGCGCGCCAAAGATTCAAAGAATGTTTGACTTGCGTGAATTTTTTGTCCTTCCCGATGTTTCTCAACTCTGTTTTCAAAATGATTCACTGTTGGTTTTTCCACAACTGCACGCGAGGCGACAATTTTTTTCCTACTACCAAGTTAAGAATGTAGTAAAAAATTAAACAAAATACTTGTATAATGAGGTCATTACTATGTGTTGTTATCTCTAGCATTGGTCAGATGTAGGTGTCGACATAATACCAGTGTACGTTCAAAGTCATAAAAACTTATAAATCATTCGCAGAAACGATTATAATGCAGAGCTGCATAAGTGAAATCCAGACGTAAACAATAGGAGCACGCCCCCCTCCCCCTCCCCAACTCCCCAACCCCCACCCCACCCCAACATTTCCTGATTAAAAATTCATCCTCATTATGCTTCAATTAATATCACATCAGACAACATATATTGGGACTTTGATCTTAAACTAGCCCGTCGGAGCCCCTCCGGGATTCGTTGGCACCACAAGTATGTCCATATTCAAAATCAAAGGTTAATTGCGTCCATGGAATAATTCGCATGCCATGAGGATTACACACTGAAAGTCCAGTCTTTGTTATGATATTACCCCTATCATAGGTATCTAGATACTGTACACAGGCAATGCATTTGCATACTTGCACATTATTTAGCTGATACTAGGAAGAACACATATAAAAATATTTAACACATAATGCTTGAAATACACCACTATTTTCATTATACCAGCCTAAGAGTTATTCCGTTAATTAATAAGATGAATGAGCTTACAAGCTGTTGCTCCTTAACTGACCCCCGTGACGTGATTGACTGGACAGGCAGATGATTAGGGACAACGAACGGTTTCTGACAACGTGCTATCCATCATTGTTGAGTGGTCAGTCCACGCCAAAAATAAGCATTAACAAACATGTTCGGTTATCAGTGTCATATTTCGTCCTTGATTAGAAAATAAAAACATGCCAATTTTCACTTTTATTTCTATTTTCTAAATAAGATGGTGATGAAATTACATAATTTTTGCCTCTGGAAACTGACATTAATTACAATCACAGCAGTTTCCCTAGGGTGCCTCGTTGTTTTGATCGTCCAGCTGACATGCCATGTGCTCTGTGATTGGCCTGCCTTCACTAAACGTCATCAGCGTCATCTTGTTGACGTTATACGCTATTTTGGGTCGGGTCAGTGATTGTTGGGCGGTCTATAAATACCGCATGTGGCCTTCGAATAAATCATAACACAATTCTAGTTATCCACAACGAACACTTCGAGGTAATCCGAAACACAGACCGGACCGTTAACACCATGAACTCAATTATCTCTACCTGTATTTGTAAGTATATGAATTAATTTTCACGAGAATCTAAACTGATATTGTGTATTATTAAATTTGGATTTAAGCACCCCCTCGTTTTGGAGGGCATTTCTGTCGACTAATTTTTAATGTTGCTCCGTAGCCTCATAACTTTCAAAACTTAACGCCATCGCCGAGTCGTAGAAGTGCAACTTATTATTTGTCAGCAGAGAAAGGAAAATATGATAATGAATAGTTTGTTTTTGTAAACTCTTATGATATCAGTTTCTGAATCAGATTGCCTCTAAATTGGTATACCAATAGAGTAATTAACTGTTGTAACCATTTATCGTTTCATCAGTCAATGTGACGCAACTTTCATGTTTTAAATATCTTCGTGTCACACATTGCAGCGTAAGTAAACAAAATGACATTCTTCATGTCCAAAACAAGGGAGAAGTTGATAAATACTGAAAGGTTATATGTGTACACAAATAAACAGGTATTCTATTTGTCATTTATTTTAATATCAAGTATGTTTAACTGGTTATAGAGATAGGGTTTACGAAGGCGTGTGTACTCTGCATCATCGTAAATATATAGAGATATCTTGTTATACAGCACAATAATTGGATAACTTAAATTTCTGTTGTGACACCTTTTAAGGTTAAAGTAAACAAACAAATTGTATTATAAAGTTCCAACAAACAAGGCCAAGTTAGATACACACGCGCTATATTACAGTATCATAGAGACAAATCAATAGGTGATAGGAGAACCCGTTACAGACCACTATGAATATGACGAAATCGAAATTGTGTTTTATTTCATTGAGGAAATTTGAGATCATATGAACAGAGTGCGATCGATGGAAATTTGAAATACAAGAGATACGTTTACATTAAAACTGGACCCGCCTTTGTTTAAAAATGAATTGATTTGCAAGCAAGGTGTTAACTTATGTTTTGTGTTTTTGTTGACAGTTCATATTGGTTTCCTAAATGTCTCATTGTTTATTGAACAACATACAGTAAGATTACTCCAGGAAAACTTGTCACATTTGTTCATTTATCTAGAGAAAATGCGCCCATGTATCATATTTATGTGACAATCTTAATTAGATTTTATCTCGCAACATCCTGCTGACATTTCTTTTAACATTCACACTGAATAAAAAAAATCGCCTGTTACAGTTGTCTCCCTTGCCATTGCTGCTATTCAATGTCAGCGGTGGGAACCCGAGCGGACGTGTCCCGAGTTCAACTCACGTTATGAAGGCGAGAATCTCATTGTATCACTAAATGATGGATGTGACATGTGAGTAACCAGAATTAACTGATGATATTAGCATATTTAACCAAGTAAACTTTATATTCAATGATTTTATTGAACGTGCATAAATTTGATGGAAAAAATTAAACCGAGACTTATCATAAAAGCACGAGACAACTCCATTTTGAAGATTTGATTGTCACGTCAACATATGTAGTATTGCACAACAAATTGATAAATTCGGACCTTCCCGCAAACGCGCAAAGAATGAAGATGTCAAAGTTTATATTTATGACGTCTTAGAAACAGAAAACAACAACAATTATTTGAAATTGGAAATATTTAACATTCCTGAAAAAACCGCTTTGTTTTATGGAAGTAACTTTTTTTCTATCGTACAGGGTCGTTGGGACACTTGATATTACTGGTTTGAGTGGCTTGGTTGCGGGCGTGCCCAATACCGGAAGTGGATTGTTTACACCTACGAGGTAAAGTCACATACATATGTACCTTCTCTCCTTTCTGAACATCAAGATTTTTTTTTCATTTTATTGAACAAGACGAAAAGAACATATAAATAACTAATAAAACTTGATTGAATTTATGATAAGTTTTTAAATGTCTATTAGAATATTCAAACTTACAAATTCTTGAAGAGCGTTGCGTTTACATGTTTCTTCACAAACTTCTAAGATCAAAATCTGTGGTTTCTTCCATATTTTTTTAAAATGGAGGGTCATAACTCTCAAATATAGTAAATGAGGTAATCTATCAAAGTGAAATTATTAACAGTATATATTGTGCTTACCAGGGGGTTCCACATCCCGACCGTCACGTATAGAAGACCACAAAACTTGTTTAACACGATCCGCCCAGGTTCGTCCAGTCAGATGTGTCCACCATACACCGTTCGATATTTGGGACCCCGTGTCGTCGTAGACACCGTCCCCAACACGTGTCAAAAGTAAGTACACGTGCACTTTTACAACTAGCGATTTCACAGATCAGCTGTTGGACTTTGGTATGGCAATTTTGAATCTGTCAGTTAATGTCTCTGTTGAATGTATAGTTTGCATTATTGAGTTGAAACGTTTTTGAAAAGTTATCCGTATCAGGAGATATTTAATTTAAACATATTTTATTGACATATTAAATAACAATAGAATTAGTTTTTTCCAATTTCTTATTGAAAACAATTGACAGAGAAAAAAATTTGAGACTTAGCTACGATGCATGTTTGTCATTCTTTGGAATTTTCCAAGGCACTTTTCAGACCATTCTTTTTGCTTATAAATGACTGAATGTTCAGGTTTATACTATATAAACGTTATTGTTACATAACAGGGTGCTTGGAGTGAGGACTTTCCAGACCATGATATCAGGAGGGGAAGGGTCACAGAGACGCATGGGAATGAGGTATGTATAGATATCTTCGGGGGATCACCATATTTTATCTATTGTACTACGGTGTCCAAAAACACTTGTACTGGAAATAAAAGATAAATGCCGCCGCCCCCCATCCTCCCGTACATCGATTTCCCTCAGTTTACTCATCACTTTCACACTTTCAGAGTGATCGATCTTCAATTTATTTCATGAGTCCTTTTCAACTTTATTACAAAAAACAATGGGTCCCAAAAAAGTGAAATTTAAGTATTTAAGAAATTCTTTTAGTGCCATTGAAATCAGTCTATGAGTACGTGACTTGGACCTCGCAAGTAGACTTATCACTTTTGTAACAGAATGAATTTATACCTAGTAAAAACTATTCGACTTTCACAATTGCATTATAGATAAACAGCGCTGATTGTTTTTTATTACGAGATATACATATTTGAACGCATGCGATTTGTTGGGGCGACTCGGGTGAGGACTAATTAAGGCTTCTGAATATTTCCAACAAAACATATCAATTTCACCCAGATCCGCATATAATTTCATGTAAATAATTTATCCATATTAATTTTGTCAATAGATGTAGACGACCCTTTTCCAACTTGAAATTGAAACAATATTTTATATCAATTATCTGCTATTGTTCACTGTAGAGCGAGTCAAAAACCGTATCGTTCTGTTTACAGGATGGTAACAAGGGCAGTGTTCGAAAATCCAGGACGTTTGATATAAACATATGAAAAGATTGATGATATCTGTCAGAGATGGAAGGACAGACACGAAGGACAGACACACGAAGACAGATTGATGTTAAGTTATACCATTTGATTTGATGTTGACACAAGGTTGTGCATACGTAATTCACCAGAAATCCAGTCTGGGAAATCCGTTGTAGATTTCCGTCTTTTTTTTTCTATAAATAAAATGTTTTTCTTATACTTGTTTTGATTATTTTGTTTTTGTTTGTTTGTTTGTTTGTTTGTTTGTTTTATATCATCACCATTGTTTTTCCGTTGTATTCACATCGCCCAGGTGTTTTATAAATTTAACATTTTCTTCGGTTTAGCAAGTCTATATAAATATCGTGTACATGGAACCTACGGCAAATAACATACCAACCAACCGACAGAGGGGCCTTCTGCCTTCCCGGTAAATATATATAATATAGTATGATCGATTTTATCAGAAAACGGTCAGTAAATCGTTTGATATATCTAAATATGATTTCTGTAAGAAAGAAAACTATTCAACAATGATTTTGATACATTCCAAATGTTACATATTTCACCTAATACTCTCCGTTTATGGTGGTCACGCTTAACAAGTTCTTTTTCTGTTTCCTTGGTTTCAGGTTAGATAACTGTGGTAGAACAATCTACACATGATTTTTAATTTGACTTACCTCCCTTTGTACGCGGCACGGCATGTGGAGCGAATAATTACACATGCTGTGACAGGAGTTAAAGATAATGAGGAATGGATGCCAATCCGGGAAAAAAAAATCATTTTTTGAAGTTACAAGTATATAAAACATCCTAAATAACTTTATTTATCTAGGAAAATAAGTAATGATTAAAAAAAAGTTGACATCCCTTCTGCCGATAACACAGTTTTTTAACCTGTTGTTGTTTTGATGGCAATGTTTCCATGTTTTTCTTGGCTACACCACCAATTAAACAGACGTTTCCGTATCAGAAGTTACAGTACCTCATTTCACTCTCATCCCAATCACTTCGGTTTTATAAAGGTTTAGTTAGGCAAATATGACTACTAAAAATCGCTTGTTTAAATCAGAAAGTGGCCCCTTCCATCGACAGGAAGTAATCACCATGCGTCTGCGCGAAGGCCAAGTCTGTACTTGTACCTGGTCTTAGAGTTCATTTTTTTGCAGTAAAAGCTTTATGATTCGATAATCAAATTACACAAAATTTTGTGACAAAATTGATCACGTTCCACCTATAAAAACGTTGACTATTAACATTAAATTAAAAGACATGATGCAAGTTTAACCTTTTCCATTTGCTTGTTTAAAAAATTCCACATGTCCATTATTTCATAGAAACTGCATGGCTCATGTCACTAATTGCATTTGAGTTCATTTAAATGTGTAAACGACAGCACTGCAGGAATTCTGATGTTACTATGGTTGTGAAAAAAACTGCCGACATTAGTTGGTAACAACGAGCCTTGGAGAAAGTCTGGTTGTAATTCATTTTCACATTTACATACGTGTAATACTCAATATTGGACACGACTTTCTAGATGGAAGCGAATAGTTTTTATATCTATATGAAGAGCAGTTACACTGAACTGGATTATGCTATCGGATTAATATCAAATTAAGATATACAGAAATGTATTAAAAGTAGCAATAGTCATCAAATTGATAATCGATAAACACTACAGCATTTACAGTCGTTATGAAAGACAATTTTACAGCCAAATGTTGCAATATAACGTAATCATTTGGCATTCATACCCGCAATAAATGCCACATCGAAACGGAATTATCAATCGAAAGAAAAACAGAGAAAACTATTTACATATATGTTTAGAAGTGTCGTCTTACTGTAATAGTCTGTTAAAAATCCTTGTCTAGACGGAACCTTTTCCACACGAAAATTGGCAGTTTGACCAATGGGCGTGGTGATGGGCGTGGTGAGCGTCTAGATCGGATAATCGTTTTTCTTTGATCACACCGACAGATCAAAGATACGACTGCCTTTCCTTAAAGAAGTGTACACTCGATAAGGGGGAACTAGACTCTAGACAGGCTATATTATCTATTACGTCATCAATATGTCTATTACGTCATCAATATGTCACTTAGTTGTGTTCTTTGCATTCATACATCGCATATACCTGTAAAAATAGAAACAGTAAACTCGTTAGCAGCGGGTATTACATGCTCTTCTCAATTTTACTATTAACGTGCATTTTCTAAAACAAAACACTAGTGCAGATGACGTAATTTCTGACAACAGCTTTGTGGCGAGATAAGATGTTGACAAGGCAGAAATTTTGACGTCAGCGTTACGCCCACCTGATATAAAATACTATAAATTGTTGGCGATAAGAATGTGCAAATAACACTTTTTTTAAAATATTCGCAATAAATGCCCCCCTCCCCTTTTTTTTCTTTTACCTTTTCAAGCGGGTCCTGTTTAAATTTGTCACTTTGCTCTAATTTAATGATTTTTTAAATTAGTATTTTGTGAACAGGTAGGGACAAGTCCTGAAAGAAAACGCATTTCGACGTCTTATTGTTGGTACAAATTAATGACACCAGCCACAGAATCGGTCCAAATAGTTAGTGAAGTGAAAACGAGGCATCGCGTGACTTGCTTTCACGTGCAAAAGAACAGCCGAATTCATTATTTGATATAGGGATTGAAACAGACAAAATAAATATGGACAATCTTATTGAAAATCCATAATTAACACGTATGTGGCGTCATTATGATATAAGTAATCACCATGGCTAGAATACTTTCTACATCACTAAGTGTCGGCTTGACATTTAATATTCGTATTTTTCACCATTTGCCGAACTTTTTCCATTTAACGATGTGTATATTGATTATAGTGTGTATGTAAAACGTGAAAAAGCACCTCTTTATAATACGTAAATGGTGATGTATAGTCTTGCTCCTGTTCCTAGCCGACAGTAATATAATTGGTAAACTAAATCATTTATTTGTCCATATATTTGTCATATTTTAAAACAGCATGACAGTAACACAAAATATACGACCAGATTGTGTTAGAATCTGTGCAGGAAGTGGCACAATAGGTTCTATAAATAGTCAAGTAAATGGCATATTATGAATATGGACAAACTTTATATCAAAATTATCGATCTTAATTCCGGAAGACGACAGATCATATATTGTAGTTTTTGTGTTATTTAAGATTGCATGAGATATCCCGTTTTTTTTTGGTTTTGTTTTACATTTTCAAAAAAAAAAAAAAAAAACAATAAATAAAAATAAAACAAACAAACAAACAAACAAACAAACAAACAAAAACAAAAAACGACGAGTTTAACAAGTTCTCCTCTAAATAAAATTGCCATCTTGATGTTAAAAGAATGATTATGATGTGTATATCTGTGCTTTAAGTTTAAAAACCATAAATGGGGCCATGATAGTTCAGTCGTGTATTCCTGTAGCAAGACATTTTTTCTGAATGCTTTAGGGAGCATGCAATGGACTTCCCGCATGTTGTTCAATGAGGCAGCCTCCAGCTACTTCCGGAGACAACTAATACTCCATTCTCACATCATTGCTCTTTTTCTCTGTCTGGCTCAATTATCTTTACAAAAAGATTAAAAGGACTGTTCTTGACGACTGTAACGTAGTTTGATACCAGGAATTAAATGTAAGCAAGACGCACTTAGCCAAAAGTCTTTATCTTCATTCACAAAAACTACAAGGTCAAAAGTGAAAACAAGTAAATTCTGGAGCGACACTGACGTGTCAGATAGGAAAATATGGACTGGCTGATTGATAACGTCCACGATTCGTTCAGCAAGGAATGTATATGATTCATATCAAACAAATATTTAATGCATTTGCACGTTTAAGTAAAAAATAATAATGATGGTAAAAAAGAAATTACAGACATTTGATCAGAAATACTGTAGTAGTTAGCCGTGTGTCCATATTCCAAGATCTACTGTACAATATAGAATGCTTTGTACATGTGTCACAGCAGAAACTGAGACAACAACTGATCTACCGTACATTATATAGAGAATACATGGTCAGTGTCATAAAATATAGACTGTATTTATGTAATTTCCTCAACTTAAGGGGAATTACTTGCAGAAGATATTTCATTTAATTCGAATCACAACAGCCAGGACATCCTTTTTAAACAATATTTATAAGGCGCCGCTCTGTATTAGTTTCGTGTCCATTGTTTCCATCATCCTTTCAAATTTACCTGACAGGGCTGCTTGCATGACAAGAACCAATCTTCATCAGATACACGACGAGGGTCAAAGTTCACGGAGATTTTGTGACAAGTTCGTGTGCAGAACTGCCATAGCAATACGGCCCTGTTAGGTGATGTTCCGCTGTCTGATTTGTAGATACATGTTAAACGGAATTGTAACACAAACCGGAAATTCGCACTTTCTTTCAAAGAAAAAAAATTCCATGACATCCATCAACCTTGACTTTGGACACGAACCCATGGTAAGGGATTATTTTGTCGATAACTACAACATTTTTCAGCATTACACATTTTGAAAGAGTGACGTCCAATTATTCTGTTGAAATGGTTATGTCATCTGATAGTAATGGTACGCACATTGTTGCTATGTGTTGTCATAGTCGCCCATTGGAAGTTGATAACCTCCCAAGATATATTTTTGTATTTTAATTATAATCTGTTTGAAAATTTACCGAATGGATTTTTGCATCTTAATTATAAACTATTTATGAGTAGATCCGGGAATTAATTTTAAAGAAGATCTTTATTATTTTTTAACATGCACACATGGACCTTAAGAAATGCTGTTTAATTATAAAATCCATCTTTTGCTTAATTACAGATTTATTTATAAACATATGTTGTAGTGGAAAATCAGTATTGTAACTATAAGTTAACATAAGTCAAGTATCTAAAATTGCCAGAATATTGTATTTGCTCTCCAGAAGTATCTCAATTTACACTGGAGAATGAAGGGAACAACGTTATCTGTTGTAACAGGAGAGGGACGGTGTGCCTCCACTTGGTATCGAACCTGTGACCCCTAGCTTTAGAACATGAATCTACTACTCTACTGA